AATTCTCCTGGATTATTTCTGTGAGTAGCTTTTGTAGTTCATTTGTTTGTGTCCTTACTTCTTCTTTTATGTTCTTAATTCTTAAGTTATGGATCCTCTTATCATCTTCTTGTCTTTGTATTATTGCTGTTTGTTTCTTTGTTATTTTTAAGAAGTTTTTCATTTCATTCTCTCATATTACAAATCTGTCCTCCAGTTCAGATAGTCTGTCCTTAGTTTCTTTCAAGCTGTTATGCCAGTTTTCGATAGACTTTTTAGTTTCCTGGTAGTCCCTTTGAACCTGCTTCACGTACTCTATGCTTTCTCTGTTTTCTCCATCAAACAATTCTCCCCTCTTTTTCTGTTCTTCCATTCCACCATCTGTTTTTTCCTGGGTGGTGCTTAGCATTTCTGTAACTATTCTGCATACTTCTAGCTTCAGGTCGTTGATAACTTCATTCCTGAATTGGTCTATGAGGCTCTCTATATGGCGCTTAATGTCTATTGGTGCAGTGTCCGCTATTACCTGTTTTTCAGGATTGGGGGCCGAGGAGCCTTTCTTGTTGCTGCCTCTTCCCATATTCTTTGTTCCTTATATATGCAAGCTTATATAGGAGGCCCAGCTTCCCTCCCTGTCAGCCACAGCCTGATCGAATTGCGCCAGTTAGGTGTTCCCGCCCACCGCAGCACACCAGGAAGTTCCAGACCAGGCAGCCTACGTGGGGCCCACCTCTCCAGGCCACCCTCAGGCTCTGGGATCTGGTTTGGGCTAGCCTACTGGGTCTCCACCAGCAGTGTCACGTAGGCTAGGCACTTCTCACCAATCCCGCTTGAGAGAGGGATATGTGACTGAAGTCGCCACCGCGCCCTGCTCCCGCAAGTCTGCCCACTCCCAGAATGTCCTCCGCTGGAGTCAACTGTGGTAGAGTGTCAGTTTCTCTCACTCACCTCACCACAAGTCAGTGCACGCCTCCCTGCCCATCCTGTTTTCGACTCCGTTCGCAGATTCCTGTTCTCAGAGCTTCCGTGCGTCTCTCTCCCTGCTGAGCCGATGTAGACGCAGCCGCCACACGGCGGGAAACCCAAATCGTGGGTTCCAATGGCGCAGGCTCCAGCCTCCACACTGAGGCTTTTCTGTTCCTGTTCTAGCACCAGGACTGCATTCCAAGTTGGTTTCTCTCAGCCCAGTTCGTTCCTGGGTCAGCAGAGCATATCTCTACCGGCTTATGTCTCCTTACTCTGCACCATTCCTGACTTTTGAGCCGAGTCTTTCAGAGAGCCTCCGTAGCTGCTGTTATCTGTCTGCCATGTTCTCCCGGAAGTCCCTGGAAAGAAATTTTTTAAAATCTTTTTTTTGTTTTTTTGAGACAAGGTGCTGATCAGGGTAGTCTTGAACTCACTTTGAAGCCCAGGCTGGCCTCAAACAGCAGTCCTCCTGCCTCAGCCTCCTGAATACTGGGATTATGGGTGTGTGCCACTATGATCAGTGGTTTTTGAAAGAACTTTCTTAAATTATTAGGAAAACTTTGCAGTTTTTGAGCTTGGTGAACCACTGCTATTTCTGATTTGGAGGAAAAATTGGAGTTTTTCTGTAAGGGTACAGGTTCTACTTCCTGTCCCATGTGTTGTGTATCTTAGGCTATCTTTACTGATTTACTAATGTAGAGATGAGATTTCCAGTGTATTCACATTTTTAAAGATTTTTGATCTGTTTGAGTTTGACCAGAGTATAAAGTCACCTTAAAATTCTATTTTTGACCATATGGTTTACTTGGATACCATTTTCCATGGAGTAACATTTATAAGATAAATTCTACATAATAATACATTTGGGGAAAATATTATTTAATAGGCTGGAGCTGATTGTTACTTAAGGCAGTTCTTTGGAAGAATTATGTTAGGAAATCAGAGTTTAGATATATAGATGGTACTAGAGTTTTCTTGAGAGTATGTCCTGATAGACCCATTGTAAGTCAAAAGTGCATTGATAAAGTGGGGCCTGGTGGCTCAGGCCTGTAATCCCAGCACTCAGGAGGCTGAGGCAGGAAGATCCTTGTGAGTTGGAGACCAGCCTGGACTACAAAGTGAGCTCAAGGCCAGCCTGAACTACCTTTGAGATCCTGTCTCAAAAGGAAAAAAAAAAAAAAAAAGAATTGATTAGGGCGGGGGTTTAGCTCAGCAGCTTAAGCACCTGCCTGGCTAGCGAGTGGTCATGAGTTTGATCCCCAGTACCCCCCCCCCTAGTGCATTGAGTACACTTAGCTTACTAATAAACATCATTGCTTAATAACATAGTGTATTTGAGAATTTTGATTGGTTACTTTCGCATTTGTGTGGCTGACCAAGAAGCTGCTGCTCAGCATCTCTCAGCTATCTAGGAAAATTCAAAATTAGAGCGATGGTTTCTATTGAATGCATATAGTACTTCCACCACAGTTGTAACGTGGATAGTTAGCTGGGCATAGTGGTACATGCCTCAAGTCCCAACTATTAAGGAGGCTGCGTTAGCAGGAATGTTTGAGCCCAGGAGTTCCAGGTCAGCCTGGGCAACATGGTGAAACCCCTGTCTCTGAAAGACAAGAAAAGGAGTCAGGCCTGGTGGCCCATGATAATCCCCACTCAGGGAATTTTGGAGGATCATAAAGTTGAAGGCCAGCCTGGACTATAGCGTGAGATCCTATCTCAAAAAGCAAACAAGCAAGCAAGCAAGCAAACAAGCAAAAAGTACAAAACAAAAATTCTAACCCAAACAAATAGACAAAAACCCGGGAAGAAGAAAAGTGAAAATTGAAAATTAAACCATCGAAAGTTGATTTTGGGAATTGAACCGTTGGTGTACTGACTTATCTTTGAGAAAAGTGTGGAAAGCAGATAGCTATATAGTTTTAAAAATTCATTTTAATGATTTTTTTTTTTTTTTTGAGACAGGTCTCTCTATGCAGTTTGGGCTGGCCTTGAGCTTACTTTATAGTCCAGGCTGGTCTCAAACTGGCAATGATCCTCCTGCCTCAGCCCCCCAAATGCTGGGATTACAGGTGTGAGCCACCACACCTGGCCCATTTTAATGTTCTTACAAAGTAAGAACATATTTTCTTGTGTAAAAAATTTAACTTTTATAGTAGTTTTAAGAAAAAACTTTGTGGCTGGGGATTTAGCTCAGTGGCATAAGTGCCTGCCTTGCAAGCAGGCAGTCGTGAGTTTGATCCCTGGTACCGATAAAAAGGAAAAAGACAAAAAAAAAAAAAAAAAAAAAAAAAAAAGAAAAAACTTTGTAAATGGAGCTTCCTTCCTGCTAACATTTGCTTTTTCAAATTTAGTGTTTACCATGTTGAATTTCTATATGTATTAAAAGATCTTTATATACATGTTGAATGTATTTTTCACCTAGGTTTTGACTTACATGGGAATATTACTTACATGGGTTGTTTTTTGGTGTATTTTGTCAGAATTAAGTATATCAGTTTTTCTTTATGGCTTTTGCTTTCTGGTTAAGAAACCTTTTTCTAACTGAAATTCACAAGGACATTCTGTTAAATTTTCTCCTAATAGTTTTATGTATTTATTTTTATTTTTTAATCTCTTAAATTTTTTTTGTTACTTGGAATTGCACTCATGACCTCATACTTGCCAGGCAGGCACTGTGCCACTGAGACATGTCCCCAGCCCTCTTGTACTTTCAATATTTAAAAAAAAATTAAGTTTATTGGTATAATTTAGATATACATAATGATCACATAAACCATAGGGAATTTGTACCTATACACTATATTTTGACTTCTCTTTAAAAAAAGTATTATCTTTAATGTACATGAAATTTACTTCAGTGTGTCATCTTAAATATTTCTGCCAAAAATACAGATTGGTCAGTTCCCATTCACTGAATAATTTTCTGTTTTGAAGTGGTACTTATAGCATATATTAAATTCATATAATTGAGGCTCTATCCCTGTACTAAGACTACAGTTTTAGTTAGTATGGTTTTGCAAAAGCAAAATGCTTTGTGGTAAATCCTAGTAGTCAGGTGTGGGTTTTTTTTTTTTAAACCCAGAATCTTGTCAGTTAATACTTTGTGGATGTTGTGCAGTATCGTATAATCACATTATTTTCTTCATTAAATGTGTGAAATGTCACAGCAAGTAATTTACATAAAAAACAGTAACTTCCTAACAGATCAGGTCACATTTTGCTGCTACATTTTAAAAAAAATTTATCTTAAGAGCTTTTTTGGATTGCATTACAAATAAAGTAATATAGATCTGTAGTTTGTCTTGTTTGGGGATGTCGAACCTTTTTATGCATCTGTTTTAGATTGTTTTGGCTATTCCTTCTACCTTTATCCTTCTGTTTGAATATTAGGATCAACTTTTTTGAGGTATATGAAAAATTCTGTAGATATTTTCGAGATTGTGCTAAATAGTTGAGGAAGAACAGACTCTTGCACAGTGTTTGTTTTCTCATTCATCAATTTGGATAATTTTTCTTTTGTTCAGTTATTCTTTCATGTTTTTTTTTTCAAAAATGCTTGAATATTTTTGTTAGACTTATATGAATGTACTTTTGTAGTTTTGCTGCTGTTGTGAATGAAATTTAAAATTTTTTAAATTAAAAACTGTATTTTCTAATTGTTATTACCAATCTATGTGAAAGTATTAAAATTTATACATTGATCTTGTGTACGTATGTTCAGCTCTGTTACTAGTTCTAATAATGTGTCCATTGATAGTCATAGATTTATAGTTTAAAAATCATACATTCAAACATTGAATTTTATCTCTTCCTTGTCAGTTTTTATACCATTTTTCTTTTCCAGTTGTATAGTATATTTTAGTATCCAGCTTTATGACATATAAAATATATTTTTATAATGGCATTTACTCTGAAACACATTGTGCTGTAACCACTTCTTGAGTCTATAAGTGGATGACAGGAGGTAGCTTTTTCTTAAGTAGGGATAATGGAATGTTTCTGAGAAGGGAAATATGTATGATTGGAGGATTTAATGTGTGATCTTTTCATTACAGATATGGCGTAAGATACTTCTTCAGGATTGGATCTGGTGACCTGTTATTTCTGATAGCTTTAAGCTGACTTGCAGACAAAGAGAAACCTCACGGAGTTCCAGTTTTTTATTTTGCTATACATCTTTTTTGGCACCTAAGTTCACCTTGCAACCATGTATGGGAGTGCTCGCTCAGTTGGGAAGGTGGAACCAAGCAACCAGAGCCCTGGGCGTTCACCCAGGCTTCCACGCTCCCCTCGCTTAGGTCATCGTCGGACCAATAGTACTGGAGGGAGTTCTGGAAGCAGTGTTGGAGGTGGCAGTGGCAAAACTCTTTCAATGGAGAATATACAATCTTTAAATGCTGCCTATGCTACATCTGGTCCTATGTACCTAAGTGACCATGAAAATGTAGGTTCAGAAGCCCCTAAAAGCACCATGACTCTTGGCCGTTCTGGGGGACATCTGCCTTATGGTGTTAGAATGACTGCTATGGGCAGTAGCCCCAATATAGCCAGTAGCGGAGTTGCTAGTGACACTATAGCATTTGGAGAGCATCACCTCCCTCCTGTGAGTTTGGCATCCACCGTACCTCACTCTCTTCGTCAGGCAAGAGATAACACCATCATGGATTTGCAGACACAGCTGAAGGAGGTATTAAGGGAAAATGATCTCTTGCGGAAGGATGTAGAAGTAAAGGAGAGCAAATTGAGCTCTTCAATGAATAGCATCAAGACCTTTTGGAGTCCAGAACTGAAGAAAGAGCGAGCCTTAAGAAAAGATGAAGCTTCCAGAATCACCATTTGGAAGGAACAGTATAGAGTTGTGCAGGAAGAAAACCAGGTTAGTTTTATATGTTACCTACATTATTGGCTGAATTGATGTATATAAAAAATGAATACTTCCTTTTCTTTTCACACTTAGTTCATTTACTTTTCCTTAACTTATGTATTGTAGTGTTTTTTGTCTTTAGTATCTCAGCCTTTTTCAGATTTGCTCTGAGGCCCTGTTTTTCTTAATTGGGTGCCATGTCTGCTTGCTCCTCATTGTTATTGTTTCTTTTATCTGTCTTTTCTATTCCTGTATTTTCTTTCAGTATATACTTTATTTTTTTTTCTTCCCAATTCTGAGTATAATTTTGCCACAGAATTTTTAAAAAAAATTTTATTTAAGGAGAAAAAAAAAAACAGAAAAAGGGTAAAAAAGGGTACAAGTTACACAGAATTTCAGAAAAAATAAACAGTAGGAAATCACTAGTTAATAGATTGCATACTGTCATCTTCGAAATCATTTTTCAAGTTACAAAATTAAAGCATATAAAGTGGACTTTCAAACAGTGAGACTGCAAACAGTTCTGTTCAGTGATCCAACAAAACTCAGTAATATGGTTATCTATCTTATACACTTAAATATACATGCAGTTTTGCCACAGAATTTTAACCATTCATCTCCAAAATTATTTTGATTGTATACCTTATTAAGTATAAGATGTACCGTCAAGATTTGTTACAGTAAATGTCAAAGAACTCAGTCTTACCAAACAAAGTTCAGCTATTACAAATTACTATGCTATCAACCCAGAGCAATTAATTGTAACCTTAGTAACTTTATTTTGTTGACATTCACCATAGTTTTATAATTTTGGATGCTTTTTGTTGTTCTTCATTTCTTTAAGATGAAGGAATTGTAACTTGGTGTGATGGTCATTTTGAGAAAGTAAGATTTGTAGGCATTGTAATTATAGAGTATGTGGTTGAAGCTAAGCAATATCTTAGTGATTATACAAAACATTCATTTATTGCTTTTTTCACTTTTTGTTTTGTGGTACTGCAGATCGAACTCACAATCCTGTGCTTGCCAGGCAGGTGGGCCTTTTTTCACTTTTGCAGGTGATGATTGATGTTTGGTGACAATCATGTCACACTCCGTGTGATACATGACTACAAAGATGTGAGCAAATCATATTTAGCTTGTAGCAGTTAAAACTCTTAAATATCTTTTTTGTTTAAAAGATTTTTAGAACATGCTTTAAAGTTGGAAGCTTGAATTGCTTGCCTTTTTTGTCTTCTTAAAAAAAATTACCTTGTACCTAGCCAGAGGTATTACAGGATTACTTCTATGCTAGACCTCTGGGAGGCTGAATGAGACAGGAAGATCACAAGTTGAAGCTCAACCTGAGCAACTTACCCATTTAGCAAGATGCTGTCTCAAAATAAATAAAATTTGAAAAGAGCAGAAAATGTGGCTCGGTGAGAAAATCTTAGGTTCAATGCCTAGAAGTACTTAAAAAATAAGGCAAATCATTTTTGTTTTTTGGTATGGGAGATTGAACTCACAACCTTGCGCTTACCAGGCAGGCGCTTATGCTGCTGAGCTAAATCCCCCAGCCCATACTTAAAAAATAAAGTAGCTACCACATTGTTGGTATTATATCTTATTTTTAGATTATATTGATAAGAATTATTTAGAAAGTAATAAAAGTTATCTAAATTTCTGCAGTGTAATTGAATGATGCCAAGAAGCAAAGGAGTTAGAAATGATCTGTCACGAAAAAAAGAATTGATTTTTTTTTTTCTGAAGGAGATCTAATTTATGGTGTGTGTTGATTGTCTGGGTGTACTGTTACTCAGCTGTTCAGATCTGCTGTTTTGGCTACTTGAAGATCTTTATGTACATTGTGTTTTGCATTGTAAAGCTACTCTTACAGAGATAAAATTTCTTTCTTTTTTGGTGAGAGGGAATCATAAATGCAAAAACATAAGATATCACATTTACCTTATATCCTACAGTCATACTGTTGTATTTTTGACATTCTGATATATCTTCATGAATATCAGTGTGTTCATACATAACGAATTTTACATAAGAATATTACCGGCGTGCTGTGGCCTTTTAAAAATGTCAACAACATTTCTCCTGTGTTTTTAAAAATTCTCCTGTATGTTAGTTATTCAGTGTATATCCAAATCATTATTTTTAATATTTTGTACTGTATTAGTTACTTTTTCAGTGAAAAAACTTCAAAATTCACTTGAAATAACTATGTAAGTTGAAAATTAAACCTTGGTTTCGAAGTATTTCGATATTATAATTTAATTCTTTCTCAGATAACATAACCTCATACTTAATTTTTAACTAATGATTAAATTTATTCTTTCTAAAAACTTGACTACTTTAATACACTTAACATCTGTATTAGAGATCTAGCCTTAAACAAATTAGAGAAAATGTCTTTTAAAAAAGTATTTCTGCCAGGAATGGTGGCGTATGCCTGTAATCCTACTACTTGCAAGCATGACATAATTTGTGATAGTTTTGTAGTATCCTTTTGAACTTGCTTGCTTGTTTGTTTATTATTTGTACAAATTTTGGGATTGAACCTTGGGCCTCACATATGCTAGGCAAGAGCTGTATCATTCAGTTACATCTCCAACCACCTCTGATGTATTCCCACTTCATAAATCACCAATATGCAAGATAAATATTTAAATGGTACTTGAAGCCAGACATGGTGGCATGTGCCTATAATCCCTGCACTCAAGAGGCTGAGGTAGGAGAATTGTTACAAGTTTGAGACCAGTCTGGGCTACAAAATGAGCTGAAAACCAGCCTGAATTACATAATGAGACCTTGTCTCAAAAAGATATGTGAATAGAATGGATAAATACATATTTTTTGTTAAGTTGACATTTAGTTATAAGAAAATAAAGTACAATACCAAAACACTATTATTCCTAAATGTAAAGTCCTGGGAGATAGGAGATTAGATTTCACAGCGCTCATGAGATGCTTGAAGATCACTTGTCAGGTTCTGCTGTTAGCAACTGGAACTGACTCTTATACTGAGTAGGTTGAAATGGGATATGAATACCAAAGGATAAACAAGTGCAAGGATGCATCACATGGACACCAGATCTCAGTAAAGAGATCTATAAAGCAGTGAGAGTGTTTTTCTACCCTAACTGATTTTCAGCCTGCAGTACAAAAACAGTAGAAACATGAGGAAGCAGGGTAACACATGTTTTTTGGAAAACTCTTGACTCTCAAAAAGCTGTTCTCATGGATACTGAAATAGATGAAGTTACAGGCAAAGAACTCAAAACATAATGGGCAGATATGTTTATTTAACTTAAAGATGATTTCAGTAAACCGATAAAGATTTTAATTAATGTTCAGTAGCTGGATGTACTGGTGCATGCCGGTAATCTTAGCACTCAGGAGAATGAGGCAGGAGGATTACCGTAGGTTCAAGGCCAGCCTGAACTACGTAGTGAGACTTTGTCTCAAAAAAAAAAAAAAAAAAAAAAAGTTAAGTGGGTTTAAAGAAGAATGGAACAGTGAGCTGATTTAAACAAGATAAGATTTGAATAACCTTTTCTAAAAGAGTAGAAATTTTGAAAAGAAATTAAGCACAGATCCAGGATATTAAAAATTTAATGGGAAGCAGTACATTTGACCAACATGAGGACGGTGTCAAGATTTGAAGGCCTGATGGGTGTAGTGGTTGAATAGAGGTATTGAGATACACTAAGAACAATAAGACACGGTGGAAGTTGCATCCAACAACTCTAGAAGACTCAGACCAAACCAAGCTAAACCAAACCAACTCAAGGAAGCAAAACACCAGAAAATCCCCGTCAGAATTATAGAAATAAAGGGAAAAATTAAAGGGCTACTCAAAAAATTAATTTACCAAAATCATAGCAGAACAGTTTCCAAATCTAGGAGAAAAACTCATTATTCAAATACAAGAGGACCATAGAAACCCAAGTAGCCATTTGGAGAAAAGAATCTTTCCTTGACACATCATTAGCAGAATTCCAGGATTATAGTGTAAAGACAGAAGGTTAAAAGGTGTTAGAGAAAAGCAATGGGAAATCTATAAAGGTAAGCCGATTAGAATAACTACAGATTTCTCAGCACGAATCTTAAAAACTAGAGAATTTGAAGTTTTTCAAGCACTAAAAGAAAACAGTTGCCCACCAGACTTCTGTATCCTATAATGTTAGTCTTCAAAATAGATGGAGAAATAAAGACCACCTGTAACAAAGAAATATGTGACCACTACATCAGAATGGTAAAAAATATTTTACAGGGATCAGGAAAAGAGACAGAAGATCAACCCAAAAACCTAAAGAAAAGTGTACATCTAAGTGGGGCAGTAGCTAAGGAAAAGGAAAAAAATTAAAGGAATCAAGGGCCAAAGATATAGCTCAATGGCACAGTGCCTGCCTGGCAAGCACGAAGTCCTGAGTTTGATTCCTGGTACCAAAACCCAAAAAAGGAGTCAGTACAGGAAAAATAAAACAATGAGAGGATTCAGTAAAAATACCTTATGATAATAACTCAATGGTAAGGAAAAGCCGCATGTGGTGGCACATGCATGTACTCTCGGCACTCGGGAGACTATGGTAGGAAGATAGCTATGAGTTCAAGGCCAGCCTGAGCTACAGAATAAGACCTCATCTCAAAAACACAAAACACACACACACACACACACACACCAGAATCCAACCATAATTTGCCTGATAGAGACATACCCCATCCAAAATGAAGCACATAGATTAAAAATGTAAGATGGAAAGTGATACTCCATGCACCTAGAACCCCAAAGTGAGCAAAGTAGCTGTCTTTGTAAACAGTAGATTTTAAGTCAAAATTGAACAAAGGAGGCAGAGATGGCTACTGCTTACTGGTAAAGGGAAGAATTCAGCAGAAAGAGGTAAGAGTTGTTAATATCTAAGCACCAAATGTTGGCACATCCAGCTTTTTATAAAACAAAAACCTTTGGACAGTAGAACACTGATATAGTCATAGTGTTGTACTGTCACAGGAAGCTGTGC